GTGGACAGGGCCAACTCAACATCACTCAGGTTGAAGGGCGCTTTGCCTTAGCTGTTACAATGTAATGAGGCAGTTTCTGTAAGCAGGGCAATAAAGATTAGGCTAGAAACAACACCAGGATGTTTCCTTCCTGCCTTCCTTACAGGATTAGCCCTGTAAAGTGGGAAAAAAAACAAAATAAGATTTCTTCCAACAACCGTTTCTCTAATTGCTTAGAAAGTTAACAATTGGTTGTCTTGAATCGTTGCAAATTGGCTGAATACCACCACTGACTATAAGTATATAAAATAAATAATAAGTAAGAAAGGATAGGTTAAAAAAAATCTTAAAGGAGCTTTTGGTAGGCAATGCTTTTCAGCATGATATATTGCAGAGGTATTTATTTTTTTGGTGTGTGCTCATATTTATCATTGCAATCTTTCTAGCATAATTCTCCATTCCTGCCCTTCAAAAACTCCCAATTCTGGAAAACCCTCTTGTCTGTTACATAAGATCAGACCTTAAAATATAGAAGTAGATTGAGCTGCTCATTACCTGGACCAGTTTGTCAATGCCAAGAGCTCGATCCAATTCTGCCAACTCATTTTCATCTTTGCCACTCAGGAAGGACACCAGTTGTTCCAAAAGTGCTTTCTCATCATTTCTTCCTTCTGGGGTGGTGGGAGGGCATAAGAGCTCATCCAGCTGAGAAGTGATGCACTGGCTGTAGGAATGTCAATATAAAAGATGAAAGCTCTCAAATCCCTTTGGATATTTGACTTATGACATGAGAAACACTGCATGTACATATGGGTCTTTTGCCAAAACCCATTTGCCTCTGTGGTCTACAGTACTGTATGATATAAAATTAGTGTGTGATTTCCAAAAAGCTTGAAAGTGACAATTACCTAATCAAGCATTCTATTGCCACCAATGGTCAGGTTTAGCAAGTTCTCACACCAAATGTAAGGGTGCCTTTAGAGTGCCCCCCTCCAATCCCAAAAAGACATATACAAAGATGTTACAATATTGGCATGGTTTTCTGCACTGGAATACCCCATTCTAATACATATTTTATTAGTGTATTCTGTATTCATTGTCATAAATGTGACCTTCTGATATTCCTCTTCTGTATGTAGGGCTGATTCAGTAAAGGCTTATTATACAGTTGTATAATTGGATTTTACTTGTAAGTTAATATTGTAGCCTTGTTTGGATGGTGATGAGCCTGGTTTTAAAATTGAAGGAAGAAGTATCCATTACCTGCCCTATAATGATAATATTACCCTGATAAATGAAAATGCAAAGGATCTGCAAGTCCTAGTACTTAAAATTCAAAGAGTACATGGAAAAATGGGAGTAAAATCAATATAAAGACTTCTAAACTAATCACAACAGGTAGAACAATCAACCTTAGAATTGGCAATGAAGATATTTAAGTGGTGGATGGCTTCTGCTTTCTACAATCAACCATCAGCAGTAAAGGAACAAGCGGTTAAGAAATATGCCCACGAAGTTGCTGAAAAAATTTAAAAATATCATTCTCTGTCTATATGTGCAAAGATCAGAATCATGCAAACCATAGTATTCCCTGTGACAGTCTATGGTGGTGGAAGTTGGACTTTGAAGAAGCAGAACAGAAAGTGTATTAATGATTTGGAATGTTGGTCTTGGAGATAGTCATCATATGACTATCATGGACAGCCAAGAAAACCACCAAATGGATCATCAAACATATCAACCTAGAGTTCTCATTCAAGGCCCAAATGGCCAGGCTTAAATTATCTTACTTTGGGCATATTATGCGAAGACCCAACTCTTTGCAAAAGGCTTACTAGGAAAGATGGAAGGAAATGGAAGAAGAAGATGACCATCAGTAAGTGGTGATGAGTATACTGTTAGGAGACTGGAAAAAACACACTAGGGATAGATCATCATGGAGAATATCTATCTATCTGGTTGCAATGAATTGAAACTGACTTGATGGCACATAATCAATTGATCAATATTGCCTCATCTGGGAAGTTTTACTTTGCTTGTAAATAATTTGTGTGACTTGGCTGCAATGTCTATCTAGCTGTTCCTGAGAATAAATGGGTTTGTTGAATTTTAATTATCATGATTTATCATCATCTCATCTTTATATCATGAATTAGCATAGTAACTGCTTAGTGCTTTCTCCACATGGTATAGAAGTATAGGAACTTTGAATAGCTTCTCTTCCAACCCCTGACTTCTTTATGATGACTAGACATGCTGCAGAAAATCGGAGTAAATGGCTTCAGGCATTTCATTTGTACCTTAGACACGAGTGAAAAGAGGCTACAATGCACTTCGTTTTGCATTTTATTACATAGAGGCTCAAGAGATAGATAGACATAACTTAATGACATACATATTGGTTTAGCAAAAAGGTAAGCGTGCTGAGTATCTTGTTCCTACAAAGGAAATTATGTTTGAGAGACATATGTATTTTTACTAAGACTCAGGGAGCAAATTGCATGTGATGATATTATCCCAAACCAAGGATGGCTTCCGGATTCTTTACTGCCGGTTCGCTCAGGGACGCACTTCCGGCACACGCGTTTGATGCACACTATGTGCACATGCGCAGTAGTGAAAAAATTGCTTCTGTGCATGCGCAGAAGCAAAAACAAGATGGCGGCGCCTATGGCACAGCCGATAGAACCAGTTAGGGGTGTGGGCGATTGAGTTATTACCTACTCAGCCGAACTGGTCCAAACCAGTAGGAACCCACCTCTGTCCCAAACATGTAAGTTTGGAGAGCTTGTGAATTGCTCATAAAGGACATGTGGCGTGTGTTTAGCTGAATTAAAGAGAGACTGCTGAGTGAGTGTAGTTTCTGGACAAAGTGATGAATGTACTAGAGCTGACAAAGCTTCCATATCTCCAATATAAATCCTAAGTGCCCCAGAACAAAATGTATGCCTTGCAACTCAGCTCTGAAGAGCAGCAATCAACTTATGACCAACTTTCCCTGTTGTAGAAATCACTTTGATTCAGTCAGCAGGAATTACGGATAGAAAAATCTTATGCAGGCATTGTGGAAAAGTTCATGCTGTAAGAAATGAACCAGCATTTTGAATTGTACATTATAAATGTTCAGACAAATCATTTTGTTAGAATCTAAGTAACAAAGCTAATTTCTGCTAATGGGCAAAGCAGGCAAATATTTTGTGGAAGCATTATATTCAGGATATCAGTTACAACAGAGAAATAAAGAAAGTCTGAGATGGTTGACCATCTCAGCCCACTGAGCCGCCAGCCGCTGGTACCTGGCCTTGTACTCCTGCAGGTCTTCCCTCTGCTTGGAAAGTCTATGCTTGTAGTTCTCAGTGAGGTGCTTCTGCTAAGCCTCCTTCTCGGTCAGATCCAATTTGAACTGAACCAACTGTTTGCCAACTCTTTCTCATGGTGGCTGCTTTGCTTCCTGTTGGAGCCCTAAGGAACCTGGGCAGGCAGGCGAGGAGTGGCAAGTAGAGGCTGACAAGGCGCCCCTCTATGTGACACTGAGTTGGCCACGTCCACCCAGTCACATGATCATCTTGTCACACCCACATAGCCGGTCATTAGGAGATCGTTATTTCTGGTCCACGGGATTTAAAATTATGAATTTAGTGGTCCCTGAGGTCCAAAAGGTTGGGGACCCCTGCTTTAAGTTCGATATGAGCTAGATTAAATTAGAGCTGAAGCAAATGCTCTCAATCAGCAGATAAGGAGAGTTGACACCCAAAAGACATCTTTTGGTGAAACTGGGAGCCTTTGTGGGGGCATGCATTAAACCAGAAAGTGGCGTTATAGCGTTCTCTAAAGTAAGCCCTTGACAAACTGATTTGGATTTTTATTAAAAAGGGATTCCACACATTTTTGGGTGAAAGTTTTAATGGCAGAGCCATTGGATAGAGAAATGGATTAGAATTGGGGAGACCTGGATTGTGATTGTGAAATCCCCATGTGATTGTGAATCCCACTTGGGTGATTTGGGCCAATCAGTAACTCTAAGCCTAATTTTCCCTATGTGGGTCTTATGAGGATAAAACAAGGGTGGTTCTCTGTATCTTGAGAGGTAGACTATTCATGCAACAACTAATTCTACTGGAATATCTACTAACAAAGGTTGTTAATTTTCAAATACAGGTTATGGGAGAAGCAAACAATAGGGAGTTTGTGTCTTGCTTGTGGGATTCCTGTAAGACTCTGGCTGACCTTTCAATACTGGATTAAGTGGAACTTTGCTGTGATTCAGGAAAGCTGTATTTTCATGTAATGGATGTTTATTTAGAGTTTTAATACAAGAACACACAGAATTTCCATTCAGTCATCTTCACAGCATCCTATCCCTCTGGATTTTCCTAATGATCAAGAAGTTATAAAAAAAGACACATTGCGAAAATAAAACGGCAGGTTTATGAAAAATTAGATTATGTCAACCAGCAGCCTCCAGAATCTTAGTTGTGTGTGAAACTTGCATATGCAGTTTTAGATTTTTTTTCTTTAAAAAGTGTGTACTGTATCCAGAAGTGTTGGGTAGGTGGAAGAGATTTTAGTTCAGCAATCTATTCTACAGTCTTTGCAGGAGAACCCACACAACAAAGACTTCAATATGTCATTGCCAGAAACAGGCTCAAAGAGCAAACAATTGCAGACTATTGGAACAACAAAGCCAAGACACACAGAGTGGAGAACGTCCAACTGTATAATGAAGTTTCCCTTACCCTGAGGCTACTGAGCTATTCAAGTTAACTATTCATTTATATTTTATAGACCACTCTTTCTTATTGGCTCAGAACAAAACAAAACAGGGATTTCAATCTTCCATTCGTACTCTAAAAGGGCTCAAAATCTAATTAACGTAAGAAATTAAAGAGAGCAGAAGAAGGCTAATGAAAGTAAATGGTAAAGAAATCAAACACTGGATTTGTTACAAGAGGAACAGGATGCTTCATTTTTCCCACCCTCCCCAGTTATACAACTCCCCTCCTCTCTCCGCCACTAAAAACAAAAAAGGAGAGATAAAGAATTCCACTTCCTCGGTTAGATTCCTAAAATCCTCCAAGTGACACCTTGCAGGAGATCTTTACAGAAGACAGAAAACCGCCCTGATTCTGTTCAGCATCTCTTTTGCAATAAGGAGCAACCAAGGAAGGAAAATTTCATTAATGACAAATAGGATGAGGAAAGCTTTCATGCTTCAAGTTCCATTTTGGCTATAAGGCAACTTGTCCGATGGAAAACCTGGGCACGAGGCCAAGAACCTGTAAGTGAATCCTCTTTCACTCAGAGCACATGCATTTGGGTTCTTCCTGGCAGGAGGCAACTCCTCACCCCATTCCAAAATAGCATGTTGCTTGTATTTAGGGAAATGAGACAGGACAGCTGGAGGCAAAGAGTTGTGGCAAGAGAGATTTCTGTCCTCCTCTAGGATTATTGCCTAAGCTAACATTCTGCCAAGAGTTACGTTTGCTTCCACAGAAATTTCCCGTTAGACTTATAAAAATGCTTGAGTGGTTTCTGCAGGGCTTGATTTTATACAAGGACTTCACTCAGGGTTATTGGAAGAGAGGGGATAATAAGGAAGAGGGTGGAGCATGGACAGTAGCAATTAGACAAAAATGCACAACATCATTTCCCAGTGCCACGTCCCAAATTAATTATTATTTTATGGAAGCAGTCTTTTAGGGATTCTGTGGGCAATTTTAGGTCACTAGATGGCGTAGTGTTAAAGAGTTGAGCAACTACATCTTGACTGGAAAGTCTTTCATCTATATTAAACAGCTACTCTTTAGGCCCATGAGCGCATAGAAAAATTACCTCACTACCAACCGTGATGCTGTCTCAAAAATGAGGCTGGTGAGGGTGCTGGCCTAAGTGTTTCAGTGTGGGACAAGTTAAGGGAAGTGATAGTGAACTCATGCCACTTCATTTCTCTTCCCAAAGAGCTCTTCCCTTCCAAACGATGCTAAACCCATACTTACAAAATAGGTTTAGCATTTCTTCAAATAAGCATCGAGCCTGTTTATGTAAGACCTGATAAAACCTGCAACTGTTTCAGAAAGTGGTCTTCAGCTATTAAGAAGGCAGAGGCCCCTGCGGAGGTCAGGTGTTTCGTCTCTTCTGCTGCCAAATGAATTCCTGGAGGGAGTTCCTGAATGACTGAGGAGAAACGGCACCCATGCAGGCCTAAAGTGACCTGCAGAAGCTGGGAGAAACTAATCCCTGACTGTAGTATCAATCACATTGTCAATGAAACATGGTAGATCAGTGATGGCTAACCTTTTTGTTGTCGTGTGCTAAAATGCACCCATAATGCAATGCGTACGGGACACACACACCCACACCCCACCTACACATGTGCACGTGATCCTCCTGTGCCCCCCCCAGACGCCCGTACATGCGTGTGACCCCCCCACACCCCATTTTTGGCCTTGTAGGCCTCCCTGCAGCCTTCTGGGAGCAAAAACGAGCTGTAGGAGCATACTGCACTCCCATGCTCCCCCGTGCACAATCCGCCTTTCATGCACACATGTCTCCCACATGCACCCCACACCCCACACATGTGCAGCAAAGACTGCAAAATCAACTGGCTGGCAGGAGGCGCACGCGCATGCGTGGCAGAGCTGAGCTGGGCGACGGCTCACATGCCCACAGAGAGGGCTCTGCGTGCCACCTGTGGCACATATGTCATAGGTTTGTCATTGTGGTGCTAAATCATGGCAAAAAAATGCCAGGAAAACTTTATTTTAAAAATTGCAATAGCTCAAGACAAGTTTTAAGCTGCCTCGGCTATAGGCTGAAGATGAGACGAAGGCAATCTCATGAGAACATGGAGTAAAAACAGTGACCAGATACATTTTTGCTTCAGTGAGGGAGCTATGCAGAATTCAAGTAAAGTAAGGTAGCTGAGATTTTCTGAACTTGAGATTTATTTCTGAGATTCTTAACTTCCTTGGAAGAACATCAGAAATATCTAAGAGGTGGCAACCTGAGACACCATCCTTTCAGGCTTGAGAAAGGAACCATATTGTCTAAGGTACAATCTTTTCCCTGGCTGAATTTTGAGCAGAAAGAAATGCCTGATGAAGAATGAAAGACAAGATCTTAAAAGGAGTTTGCTGTCTTACACAAGAGGATCTTTTTAAATGACTGCTTGTCATTTAAATGAGTCACTTGTTGTATTCAACCTGAGGGATAGTGAGATGAATGTCAAGACTTCACATTTCTGTGAAATAGGGCCTCATCATCCCTCTGAGTCCTGAGTGTTCCCTAGTGACAGCATAACATTTAATCCATATTCTTTCATTTCTCTTTCACTGAAGAGAAGTGGAAAATAAATACAGCTTTATGGTTCTTGCTGTTTCTTGACAAAAAACCCCATGCACTAGGTTTATGTGTGTCTTTCTCTCTGTGTATGTACAAGCACAAACATATGCATTTGGGGCTGCTCTCCAGATGAGAAACTCCACATCAATACTGCAAATGGGAAAAAAAACTTTCATTGACTTTTTAAACTTCTCATACTAACTGCCTGGGATGTCCAATGATCAAGGAAAACCATCCCGGTACTTACTCATCCGGTTTAGTCATAGGTCCTCTGTTGATGGAAGCCATGGGATTTTCTGCCCATGGGATCTGCTCCCCCATGGCTGGCTGTCCAAATTGATGCTCACTGACTCCCAATTCCAGTTCAGGCAATCCTGGGAGAGAAAAGTGTATGTCATTTGAGGTACAAGAAGAGCACACTAGTTTGATCAGGTCATAAAATGGGACCAAAGGATAGGATGTGAGTGTACCTAGGCTGGAGCTTGCTCATAAGGAAAGCTGGATTAAAATGTGCAAACATTCTATTGTATAAGACTATCTGAAGCAGGCCAGTAAAGAAGCAGTCCATTATTCTAAGAAACATTCAAACAATTATCTACCTTAGTAGCGTACCTCCCAACAACATAGTTCCATAGTTTCAGTAATGGGAAGATGGCAGTTCTATGGGTTGTAGTTACGCATGACAACCATGAGATATTCTTGGCCCTATTTGGTCTGGCTCACAGCAAGGAAGGATTCCTTGCAACATGATGGCCATCAGTTCTTGATGTATCCTCCACTGGGGCCCCTCACAGTGCTCTATGGGTTTCCTCAAAGACAGTCACCCTCTATCAGATTCCAATGTTCTCTGAAGTATCTTCGTTATAACATGATAGGTAAAGGTTCCCCATGCACATATGTGCTAGTCGTTCCTGTCTCTAGGGGGCGGTGCTCATCTCCATTTCAAAGCCAAAGAGCCAGCACTGTCCGAAGATGTCTCTGTGGTCATGTGGCTGGCATAACTAAAAACACCGAAGGCGCACGGAACTCTGTTACCTCCCCACCAAAGGTGGTTCCTATTTTTCTATTTGCATTTTAACATCCTTTCAAACTGCTAGGTTGGCAGAAGCTGGGACAAGTAACAGAAACTCACTCCAATTCGCAGGGCTAGGGATTTGAACTGCCAAACTGCCAACCTTTCGATCAACAAGCTCAGCATCTTAGCCACTGAGCCACTGCGTCCCTCTTATAACATGATTCTGCACCTGAAAATACTTGGTACAGATAATGGTG